CTTGGCGTAACGTGTTAATACCAATAAGTAAACAGCTATACTGGTAACACCTATAACGACCGAAATAATTTCATTATGATGCTCGCGCTATATGCAATTTCGATTGTCATCAAAATCGATTGGTAACACGATGTAGTATCTTTTGCATTTCCCATAAAATACAATATTATCTATACGATGTACTTAATTGCTAACTTACATAATGTGTGTGTATGTTGTCATTGCAAAGTATTTATTCAAAAATGAATTATTATTTTGCCTAATATAAACTTGATAAATTCATACGAATTTAATTATCTGAGCTGTTTGATTATACGAACAATTCGATTTTCGAACTACTTTGATATCTATCGGTTCAAATAATTATTTGAAATTATAATTGATGCTCTACTGTGTTTTCTTGCATTTTCTTTTCTTCCTCCACATGTACGAACTGTAAATTGTTTAACCCTTTGCGATCTGAAGTACTTCCGATTTTTCACTCTGAAATTTAGATCAACATCATTCAATGCAACTACAGTTTAATATGGTTCTTTATTAATTTATTTGAGAATATTTAAGCGCGTTAGAATTGTAATTATATATGATATAAATATAACATTACAAATAATTTTATCAAATATTCATAAAGTACGTAATTATTCGAATAAAAGTGAATGTCAAGTCTGACTCGACATAGAACCGCAAAGAGTTAACGTCAAGTCCATTCGTCTCATCAACTGTCTCTTTCCCTTCAACATTAACATTAGCCAGTTCATCGTGAATAAAGATCTTCCATCTAGAGCTCATCAACCTTGTTCAATTAGACTCTACTTTATTTTTGCTTTATTTTGTTGCATTTATAATTTCTATTGCTGGCTATGGTGTGAGGAAGATCCCATCCCAAGCCAATTTAGTTTAGTAAGTAGCTACTTACATGTAGACTACGATAGAACCTCGTATCTCAACAAGTTTTCTTACACTGGCGAGCAAGGGTAGAAGTGCAAGCGTTTACAGGAAACCGCAGGAGCGCCGTGTATCCGGTCTACAGGTTTAGGATAAGACTTTCAACACCACTTCCTATTTCCCTTCACACTTCTCATTATTAAATAGATCGTCGAACTTCACAATTTAAATCACTCCCGTATATTGAATACTTACTTAACCCTCTCGATAGAACAGACGCTAATAGTCACCCATTAAAATTCTATCTCAGAATACTATCAGTAATTATCTCGGAATAGAACCAATAATTATCAAGGAAATAAAAAACCAATTCTTTTAATAATTAATCATTAACGGTAAAAAGGTTCCGCTCTACAAAGATATAAGTGGTGGTTAGAGATATATTTTCTGTTTTAGTTTATCTGTGTATCTGTACGTCTGTAAACTTTACTTTGGAAATATTAGTTTTTCGACCCGTGTTCACTAAAACTTTTTTGCAGCATTTGATACATACTATCTATCCTAGAAGTAACCAATAATTTTTCTATCACCTTGTATAATATTATCTAATCATAATTACTACATAAAGGGAAATAAATACGTTAAGAAAATATAAGCATTTAAAATACTTTATTTATTAAATATGATGTTTATTTTTATAATACCCAAATTTTCTTTTATTTCTATCCCAGAAAGAAATCGATTATTTTTAGTCTCAACAGAAAGCTTTATTTCATATAAATTTGTAAAAGTTAACCCAAACAGATTTGAAAAATGGATCACTAGATGGAAAGCAGTTTTAACATTTTAGAGTTAGGTGGGTTTAAAATTATCCCACTTTTTTGTCAGTTAATGCATGATGAGTATTTTTTAACCCACCAAACTTAATTGAAATTACTTATACTCTTATACTATTATCGTGCAGGTTGAGTTTCTTATTTCTTTATAATTGCGCGCCCCTAAGAGTTAAAAAAAAGAGAATTATATTTTCCTTTAATATTTAAAAATTTATATAAAATAATAATGCTTTTCATTGCGTCTCACCTACTCGTTTCACCTATTCGTTCTTTATCTTCTCAACTAAGAAAACATACCCCAAATAATCTCTGCCTATTTGTATTACACCTCGTACCAACCGCACAAAACTACCATAAACTTCCAGGATCACCTTGTATCGCCAGCTCTCCAGTCCCGTAATGTTCTAAGTGACCTATTTCCAACCGTTCAGAATGTCGACAGCTGTTCCACCGGCACTTACGCGACGGAAATCATGCGACCACCCTTTAATTGCGTATCGCTGTGTCGAAAATAGTAGGGCCATTCACATGAAATTGTGACGGCGTTCTCTGGAGGTAGCCACCTGTTGTGGTGACACGCGCTCAACCGAACGACGACTGTGCCCTATCCGTTCGTCCTCGTCAAACAAACCGTTTGCACAGCGTTAATTAACCGTTTTGCTGGCCGACGCCGTACCAAGGATCATCCGAATCGCCCGCGAATGGAAAACACGAGAGCAACGCACCGTTGAAAAAAAAGACCGGTCGCCGCGTCAGCGCAACGAACAGGTGAATTATTTGTCTTCATAACTAATCAGTTCGGGGAGCTACCAATTTGCGTATTTACTGAACTGTTACGAAATCCACTGTTGTCTCCAGTTCGCTGTGCAGCCGCCCCGCCGCGAACTGCAACAAAGACAACCACGTTCGCGCAGGCATGATTAATCGACGCGATCTGCTAACGACTTCGGAACGCGGCCAAGTGCCTGTGTTCGCTTCAGCACTTTCGGGCCAAGGAAAACGCGTACCGCCGCTCTTGCATTTGTATACCTCGTTTACTCCAAAATTCTGCCGATCAGAATTAATACCGCAATGTTTGTACGTGAACGTTCCTTAGTATTGGTTAAAGTAACAAGGACATTTCAATGATTTAACGATATTTAGTGAACTGTATATATTTGTTTTAATTTGATCTTAGAAACGTTGAATAATGCGTTACAAACTATAGGCACAAAGTGTATTCGCGGCGGTAGAATGTTACAAGATATGGTAGGGGTGTCTAAATCGGTGCCCGCACTTTAGTGACACCCCTATCACAAAAAGTTACCCTCTCCATACCTAGTTTTACCAATTGTAAGTACTTTGGAGGATAATCTAGGACACCCTCTGTCCACAGACGATGTTTCTTTACATGTCCTTAGGTCTGAAGAGGCATGTGCAGCAAGGGGGCAGGTCTACTGGCGATGGACGTTAACGCATCGGTTTCAACCGCTTTTATTATTGGCTGATTGGCGCAAACAAAGATCGCAAATTAAACTGAATACAACGAAGTGAGATAGGAATAAGTAGTCAACACCCATATTCATCCCGTATCGTTATATTTTAATTACATCTAATTATGTCGTCTCATGAAGTGAGATGTTCTACTTCATAAACACGCTAGGTTAGATAGATACGCGCGCGGTGGACAAAAGTCTCGACATGTGCTATACGAGAAACCATAGCCTATTTCCTAGAAAGCTGTAAACGGAAAATCACGATGAAGACATTGAGCTACCTGCCGGTGCAGGTATGATAGGAATATAGAGAGTTTGCATTAGGCTACGCTTCCTCGTCTTATGTTTCGTTAATTGCCCTGGATGTCGTGTACAAAGTTGGAAATATTTATCCATTTTTAGTTAACAGCGTAATTGACCGTGTTAGGTTCTAAGAGGTCTCCCAACGGTGAAACTTCATGTAGCTCGCTATTGTTGCGCGATGTAATGTGCAGAATACTGTTTCTTTAATACGTTGAATGCCGCACGATTTTAAGGTGTAGAATATACGAAATGAAAAAAATACAATATTAAATTATTTAATTGAATTGCATTGTTATTATCGCAAGTTTGTTTTGCTGAATGTCACCGCATTAGGTAGAATCATTTACAGTATAGGAATGTTTTCAAATAATCATTGTTTAATTGAGAGAATTGCAATAATTGAATTTGGGCAGGAGTCACCGGTGAACCCCATGGCACTCAACATTTTTGTGATTTGGGAGAACGCGATGGAATTTTTTGTTTATTTTGAACAAGGATTGAAAAGATTCTGAAAATAACTGTTTGAAACTGTTATGGAGAACGGAAATAAAGTCGTAACTGTTATTATATCTGAGCTGCATGGGTTTTGGTTCTAGGGTAAAATATCGCGTTTATAGGGTATGTCGGGAAGAGGTGGCCCACTTTTTTAAAAAGAACTCTTACATCGTAAATATCATTAATATCTAACAAAAGGAAAATATATTTTATGAAAGTAAATACATATAAGAACAGTTAAATAGGGTTCTATATAAGGTTCAGTATACCACTAAGAACAATTGAAAATATGGATATTTGACAATATAAATGAGATTGGGTCATCTCACCCGACATTACACTAGCTGTTAGTTTTCAGTTCTGCATTTCAGTTCTGCATCTCGTTCTTACATTTCATTCAGAACCGAAGAATAACAGTTATAGAACTTATTGTAAGAATATGCTTACTCTGAAACTATAGTGTTGATAATAGAAATACAGTTTCTAACTTCGACTTATATGCAATGAATAACATTTATTTTTATTAAAGTCACTTCATCATCATCATTTGTCACTGTACCGCAAGTGGTGAAAATATTGATAATCTTCGTTCTTGACGGGTACATTCCTTACTCGTGGTTGCAAGAATATTTACTGATAAATTAATCCCTTATCTTATAGTAAGAAATCATCGTCACAATAAAAATGTGTCACAATAAACATACAGTTTTTTTATTATCAATATTTAATCTATTAAAAAAATGTGCACTTACAATGAATAAAATAAAATTTCTTTGCTTCTTTTTACAAACACTTAACAATGAATTAATTTGAAAGATAGTTAGGAATAGGTATAATTTGGTACAAATTTTTATAGTTAATTGATATTGTCAGTTCATGTAATATAGAATATTTATTTACGTAATTTACATTACATTACATTACATTACATTACATTACATTACAATACAAAAACATTATATCTTATTAATATTTATTACAACGTAAATGCAGTAAAATCGTTGACATTAATGAATAATATTCTTTATCATATATACAAAACCATTTCTTGTATGCAATACAATTTAATTATACTCTACCCCTTACTTAAGTACTGGAACATACGAAGATATTAACAGTACAAAAATAAAATCAAAAGTATCATTGAAACATGATCATTTTTGTCCCAAATTAAACTAAATATTTCTTAATAATATGTACTTAAAAATGATCAGTACAATTTTTGAAAATTATGTCCAGTGGAAACGTAATAAGGATAAAGAGGTCACTGAGTTAGAGAACAAGAAAGTAAGTCCTATTACCAACGAGGCTGTAAAAAGTTTTATTAAACGACTGTACAAAGTAGAAAAACAAGCAACGATCTAGGAGGAAGCGAGATCCTGAAATGTTTCATCTTTTTACAGTGGAACTCATTTGCGGAGTCCAGTGGATCCTTGTTAGTCGTGTTTTCCGATATTAAACCCTTTTTCAGACAGCCACGAGGACTCGATGACAGACAAACCGCGAATATAACATCTTCCGGTGGCTACGACCTCCGTGAACAATATTAGCGGCGGCTTGGAACCATGTAACGTCGAGGAAGGATGTATCGCTACCGGCTGCTTCGAGCTCACCTACACACATGTACAATCCAATTACTCCTAAATTCTCGTTATCCACTCGCCGGGAGAAAACTTACTTAAACTGCACCCTATACCCGAGAAACTAGTTTAAGCCTCGAATTCCCGGAATAACAACAAAATGACGCTACCCCTTCTCAAAAACTTCTCTTAATTTTGTCGTGTAGTTTTTCATCTTGTAACGTCAATATCTTCTTCTTGTCCGTGAACAAGACAGTTGAATGACTAGACCTTTGTTATTGTTAACTACTAGAATTGCCTGTCCGAACAATCAAATGGAACTAACTGTAGGGAATATTGTAAAGTGAACCGAGTTAAGAAATTTCTGAGAATATTATTGTTAAAAGGAATTAACTCTTTGAAACTGACAGTATTGACTTTCGTGTTGCAACGTGGAGAGTAGATTTTTATACGGACATATTTATTAATTGAATCGACTCCGTAACGACACAAAATAAAACTTACTAATACTGGTTATTTAATATTTTCCACCACATATAAATACAAATACTAACTGTTAATAATTAACAATAATAATAATTAATAATACTAACATTAATACTAATAGGCATTATCTTATTTCTGGTTTCTACTTCTTTTCAGCTATGAGCTTTCTATAACCAACGCACGTTCATTATGGCTCGACGTTTAAAAAGCAATATGTGAATTGTTTAAAATTCAACGAAAAAACGTTTCAGCACTTCCTTTGAGAAAATCTTATTTAGAAGAACATTTTTTCAATTTCCGTGCTGAAAACGATTTTACATAATTTAGAAAATTAGAAAAATATCAAAGATTCGAAAAACTTCATCATATTAACAATGCGTAAATATATATATATATATATATATATATATATGAAATATATATTTTACATAATTCTTTAATTTATTTGGAGTTAACATCTGATGTTAGGATGATATCTTGGTACATTCACACAAAGTAAAAATAAATCTCTAAACTCATTCATACGAATTCATTTTCCCAAACATTTATATTGTCAATAAAAAGAATAATTGAAAGTGCAATGCATTTAGCAAGATGAATAATCAATAAACAATTTATTAAATACAGAAGAGCACCCATACAAACTATGAATACGTCGATCGCTTTCAACGTTAAAAGATTAAATATTGTCACAACTGCAAATAAGCGTCATAAATACCCGACCATTAGATAGCCTTAAAATGATTTGCCGAACTCTAAACAAGTTTTTCCTGAAACTTAATTTCCTGACTTTGTTCCACGCTTTCATGAGAAAATACTAGCTGTTCGTCCTAACCGTTCAAACACTCATTCTATTTATTTGTCGCTATAGTGAAACTGAAATTATCTCGGTATCATAATTTTTATTCTTTTCAACTACTTAACTTTTTGCTTCAAAATATCGTACTAGACTCACGAAAAAAATTTTTAATAGAGTTTAACAAATATTATTTAATTCTCTTGAGTTTAAATTGAACATCATTTTTTATTATAAATTATTACGTTTTGGATTTTCTAATATTTAAAACATTAACGACAAAATAGTTATGTCGAGTACAGTTTGTAAAAGAAGTCATAAGACGAAGAATTAAAATTAAAAATGAAAGGTATAGTGAAAATCGCATCATTTATCTTGAGGCCTGACATTTTATTAAAATTCTTTTAAAAAAGAATTTTAATTTTCTATTCTATTTGTTTTTTTATAAACAAATAAATCACATATCGAGCTCTTAAGTATTAAAAAAAAAGAAAATTATGCAACAATCTCCCACTTTTAAGTAATTAAACTGTTTGTTTGCAACTTTTGAATCCAGGTACGGAAACCTAACATCGTCGATATGACGACAATCATTCTGGAAGGATTAACACCTTGACACCGGTGCTGAATTCACGTTTTTGCCTGTCCGGTGGCCAAAATTGTTGAACTTAATGAAATTATCAACAATTAAATTCATTTTCAACTATACATGTTGAATTTTTCCAACTACATACCGAACCACTTTAACGAACTTATTTGATGGTATATGTCGTCTATAAAATTTGATCGACATAAAATTGTGAGCCACCAGTGGTACACGGCGTATAAGAAAAGTTTAATTCACCTAAGTAAATGAGATTATTAAATAAGTAAATATAGACCAATAAATTATAAATAAATAAATGATCAATATAAAATAAATTTTATAAATTTTAATAAACAAATTCAATAAAAATTAATAAATATTTATTAATAATTTTCATTTGAACTATATTAATATTCATAATCTTAGTAAATTTAGAAATAAATTCTTGAAAAATAATTACTTCATCTATATTAAGACAATCGGGATGACGGCGTCGACGTATTAAACCATTCACCTTTACCTTTCAACAGTTTTTTCTGGAAAAACATCTACAGATTTAACACTAAAACTACCGAGCATTTACATTGAGTTTTTGATTTAATTGATTTATAATTCAGTTTGCGTATTGCTAAATCGATTTCCTTAATAATCTCTTAACGAAACATTTATTATCTTTTTAATAATTGCAAAAAGAGGAAATGAGGAATGGGTCATTTTGACCCATTTGGTAGTTTTAGTGTTAAAACGGCCACGAGTGCCAACCGGCACAGAGGGCTAGCGCAATCGGAAGAATCGAATACTCACGGTGATGTAAGTTTGATCCCTCTGCAGTTCGGCGAGGTTATCGTAGAGGCCCTCGAGGAGCGCTTTCCTGAGTTGCTCTGTATTCGTTCCGCAGCTCGCCTTCTCCAAATTCGCACGTTTCGCTAATGCGGCAAGCTGCTGGCGCACCTCCGCGGCATACTCCAGATTCCTATGATGCAGAAAGTTCTCGTGACACCAGACCTTCTTCTGCTTCGTGTTCATGTATGCGCGAAAAACGTTCAGCAACGTGACATGGTCTCCCTCGGGTGACGCGAATCTGGAACGAACGAAACACCGGCAACGTGTCACGTAACAAGCTACAAGTATCGATCACGCTTCGGACCATTTGACATTCGCAAAAGAACGCTCGGATACCTGACACACCAGATATCGCGAGCTTTTTAAATCTCGTGATTTTTAGGCAATTCAAAATATCACTGGACTGTTTTCCAGGTGAAACTCTTTCAGCCTGATTGGTACTCTAACGAAAGTTATGATTACAGTAGACTCTCGTATAACGCGTATAACGCGAGTCTAGAATCAGTGCTTCGTATTTAAGCATACTTTCAGCTGACTAATTAAAAACACCGGATTGGTGATCATCCATCCGTAACTCCGAGCAAGGTATACTTAAATAGGAAGCACTGATTCTGGCTGGCCACTATTAGTGAATCCTCAAACCTTCTGATGATGCCAGCTGCAATGCTAGAAGAACATCAGGAAACAATTCCTGATGGACATGTCTTACACGCGTAAACTTTTGAACACTTCTCAAAATATACTCTATTCGATTCGATACACTTCTACCAACGTCTATTTAATAAATATATTCTTTTTTGAAAAATCCTGAATGTTTAGAATGAATAAAGTCTGAAGACGTTGTTATAAACTACTATTACTGGTTTACCACGCGGCTCATTTTGAAATTTTGTAAATTAACGCTGCATTGTTCTTTCATTCACAGTATCGTCCCAAATGCTTCGTTTATATTTTCAGTCGTTTTCGCAGCATTATTTCGAAGTTTGAATTCACATAAGAAAATTCCACAAATATTAAAGGTGTCCATGTTTTGAAAAAACGTTGCAAGAAATAGTTATTATGAATAATTCGAAGAAGGTATTTTGCAAAAATTTACTTTGATAATCGACAATGAAACTGTTTGAGAAGTTGTATGAAAAACAAAGGAATAGCGACGATAGAAGTAGAAATATTTATGAGTGAGAAAAATCCGACATTTCATATTATACGATCTAATACGTTACGCGTTGTGTGAATTTGCGTTATGGGAAATCGTGCTGTACGAGATTTATCTCCTATAACATGAATAATATGAAGTTGTTTGAATGATTATTATAAATGAACATGTTTCGAATGATTATTACCACGCCAACTCTTATTTTTTTATGTTTTAGGCTAAATAAAAGAATCATGGAAACAGAAGTAATCGATAACAGTAAAGCAAACAATATAATGTTCAATTCAACCTTATTTCATTTTTAAATGTTATAAATTCTTGGATTTTATTACATATCACGTTATACGAGGAATCGCGTTATATGAGAACTATAGTCGCAAAATCTTCGGCGCATTATAGGACTTCACGTTGTAAGAAGTCGCGTTATACGGAAGTCTACTGTATTTGCATCGGAATCTACAAAATACGACTATGCTACATTTTGTAAAGTTTGGAAGATACAAGAAAATTGAAAAGTTTAAAAAATACAAAATAAAAGCAAATTCGTTTCTTTCTTCGCGCTAATGTCTGAAATTGTTTAATGTTCATTTTTCTTTTATGTTTAATTTGTGACATCAAGAATAACAATTAAGAACTAAAATTTTGCAAAAATATTCTTTGCATCATATTCTGTCCTTTTTCTAACAAAAAGCTATTTGAAAAATTTGTAAAAACGGTCCTCCTTCTAGACACCCATTCGTTTAAATCGTGAAAAACTAAGAATAGCAAGTACATAACACTTTTTCGTGTATTATGAGCTGTTATATTCTACTTTCTTCACTGAAAAATCGATTAAGTTCATTCAATACCTTCAAATTTTAAATTTATTTAATTCAACTAAACATATTGTATTATTATTTTACTGCCAGTAAGACAAGTTCTTAATTTTGTATTTAAATTTGATTAATTTATCTTCTATTTTTGTCTTTTACTCTATTCCAAGTAAACTAAGTCTTTTAACATATTTGATTTTGGTATTTGAAAAAATGAAGCAACAACAAAAGGAGCTGAAGTCGATTAAAATGAATACCTCAATCTCGCAACATAAGCTTGTTGCCTTTTAGCAGGTGGATCGGTGAAAACAGACTCCCCCGACAATAGTGCAATCACTGACAACGCTTCCTCGAGACACTGGTGCTCCACCGATGCAAGAATTACTTTGGTGAATCTTGGATCCAATGGGAATAAGGACATCGTCCTGCCAAGTGTAGTCAGCTGCGGCGGAGAACCTATTCGCGTGAAAATCAAATGTGAAAGTTTTATATGATATGGTAATACTGTCTAGTAACGCCCCAGTGGGTCGAAAATAAATGGCAAATAGAGGTTGTCAATTGACCTCAATCATTCTTCAACGTAGAGGTGATCAAAATTTTTCCAGTCTGTTCACCGGATCTTCATCCGAGCATCTACAATGTTTCCCGGTGCATTTAACCCTTTGCACGCGGAAGCGTTTTTGTTACATACAGTATACCCATTTTATTTGCGTAGAATACTTTAAATTAGTACAGTTGACGATATTGAGACGATATTGTTCAGACACTCACGGTACATAAGAGAATTTTCATAAAAAGCTAAATTATTAAAATATATTACAATAATTTGTACATTCATAATTTTAATACATTTCTATATATTTATAAATATTCAGAACTCGCACCCTTGCGTTTTCTCGAAAAATACACCTACAATTTTAATAAATATTTCTATATAATTAAAAAGAATTGAAACATTGTCTTGGCAACATAAATAATAAAAAATTCGAACACAAGATTTATTAATGATCAAACTAAATACGTCCTCCTAAATCGTAATTTTAGTAGCGTCAAGGCGAATTGCAATAGTTTTCACAAAAGCGCAGTCAAGCTCAATGCGGCCACAATACCAACCAGCGCCGAAGAAATGAAATATTGTTCCACAAAGAAAGAAGTCGAGGAAACATATTGTTTCCTGTGAACCCAGATATATTTTCTCCGTACGTCGATGTCGCTTATTTGAATTTCAGAATCTTCTGGGAAAGTTTGCAACTACAGAATTTTGTTAGGCAATAATTCTATCGTGCCTGGTGGTATCGACGCAACTCTGATGTGAATAAAACTTACATTTTTCACAAACTTTTCAAATCAATCATCCCAGAAACATAATCATTGTTCCATAAACGTTGACGGTACCGTAACGGTAATCCAATTTGTTTTTAATTAAAAAAAAAATCATTTCACTGTTCAGTTGATATACAGCCTCTGATCAAAATATTAAGCCCACCCACAGTTTTTAACATTTTTCACAGTAATCGGAAATTTGAATTAATTTAATAATAACTTTTACTATCTATTAAGATATGTACATATATATTACATAAATAAACATTAATAATTTGTGCTTCCCTCTTTTGCTTTTATTATAGCATTCACCCTTTTTAACGTACTGTGTTTGCATTTGGTGATCACGTCTTTGACTTTGGAATGGTCTTGCCAAATTTCAACAATTTTTGCTTTTAAATCTGCTACTGTAGTAGTAAGTGTTATACACAAGAGTTTTCAGTAAACTCCAGACATTTTCAATGGGGTTCATACCTGGAGAATAAACAAAATTTTTACTGGTCGGACAATAAACTCTCAATAATAGAACATTATGTATAATAATACGCATATTATTACTATAAAAATATGTAATATATACTATGTACAACCTTAAATAAAAATTAATACAAATTACATTTTGGCCTTTTACTTCCACGATTACCACCAGAATTGTGGATGGCCCTAATTTTTTTACCCGGAACTGTAGAATTTTCTAAAATTGACACTTTTATTTCCATAAAAATAAGTTTTCACTGACAAAAATGTTACTTTTTATCTTACTGGTAATAGCGAGCATGTTCTGGAACAAGCATTGCAGCGTAAGTTGTTGGTAAGACACTGTGCGAAGAAAATGAGATTAAGGGAAGCTATTGAAAGTCATACAGATTCTAGAACACCTGAGCTTAGAATCGATGAAGAATGGTGTTTAAACTTAGACCTATCTTACAACCGTTAACCTGAGCAAGTCCTTTGTTAAATACTGGTCTTACATCGAATCTACACACTGAATAGTAATTGCAATCCTATTGGAATTATCTTTGGTTCACAATTTAACTTCAAATACGGTACCAATGGGACAATGTTCCATTCACGCATGGTACACTGTTAACAATGTCTTTAGAGCAAACTCTATGCTCTGGTTGACTTGAATACTATTATCACCTTTGACTCCCTTGAAACCACCTACACATACATGTGACTAGACGTTGTATGTAACTAACATTTGATTTCAGTTCTTTCATCAGCAGCTTACACATTAGGACACTAAAGTTACTAGTTCACATTGCATGATTAAGCTGAGTAGCCAGATGCTGCGTGCAATTTAAAATTGAAGTGACAGTAAAGTAACTGCTTTGTTGTACTGTGCTTGTAACCACTTATTATTTAAAAATAAATCATACTTATACGTTACCAATGTAAATTAAAAATATGAAAAATTTGTAATATTGAAGTATTAAAATTTGGAAAACCGGTAAAATTTGAAAAATATTGTAACGCTAAAATTAAATTTAATAGCAATTTTACATTTTACCTAGTAACAAATTTAAATATAGAAGTCTTAGTAAATAGAAAATGCGTGACTCATAAATATAGAATTATAACTTGAAACTTGAAACTTGAAATTTAAAATTTGCAATTTTACTTTGTAGTCTGCATTACTTGCTAACATCGTAATTTCAATACATCACCAAAAGTTCAGAAAAACTCAGCACTTTCACGTAAAAAAAACCTGAAGAACTAAACCACGAAGTGTTCGAAGTAATATTATTCGAATTGAAAGTCATTCGCGATGCGCGCGATAAAAACCAGCTATCAATCAATGAAAGCCGAGTGTCTCGCTAGACCTCCCAAGTCGCTCGACTTCACGAGGGAAAACCGTATAAATAAATGGTTCTACAGATGAATGAATAATTCAATTGTTGAACGCGAAATGCCCAGAAAGATGCAATCAAGAGCTTAAGATTGCGATGTCGAAAGACTCTCGAAACCGTTACCAGAAGTTATAGACTCGCAACGAATAGCTATGCATATACAATCCCAAGCAGTACACTTCGAATTAAACCGCATTTGCTTTCGATTCAGATCCAGCGGGTAACAAGGTTGAAAAATAATCAGTTTCAATACATTCGAGGGAAACCATGCTCACCTTTAACACCGCCAAGCTTCTCCAAACAGGTCACCGCGACGTCGACAGCTTCTGTCGGCGGTTTGTCCATGAAATCAAAGGTAGTGATATCAATCCCGATGGCGAGCAGCTGGAGCGCCACTCCCGCGAGGGAACACCTTTGTATCTCGGGCACCGGCATCTCCTTCATCCTTTCGAAATCTTCTTTCGTGTAGGTTCTGTAACATTTGCCGGCCGCTTCCCGGCCCGCTCTGCCTGTCCTCTGCCAGGCCTGTGCCTTTGAGACTTTTTCCACCCTGAGCACATCCAATCCTGTCGTCGGGTGATGAGTTCTCGCTTTGACCACTCCAGTGTCGATCACATGTCGAATTCCTGTGTAATTTCATCCGGGAATCTCTGTGTACCACAATCCTCTCACGAATGTAATCACGAAAGCGAGCCGAGTAATCAAGTCTGTCACGAACGAGTACCGGGGTTTCGGTCGTGATATTAGCAGATTGCGGCGCTCGTGGAAAATGAAATTGGCCCACGCCGATGGATAATTTGCCGAATTAATCCGATCAAGGACGACCTCGTCCGGCGAAGACGATTTATTCGCAGAACGGAGTCGGAAGGAAAGGATTTTTTTGGAAACGTTTAGAACCGCTGACAGTGTCGAGCACCGAGTGTATTAATTTGCCTGAGAGTTCATGGAGTGTGAATGGTTAACCAGTTAACTGAGTTTGACGAGTACACGCGTCATCTTAGAGCTTGAAATGATACTAATTCTTTCAACGATGAATTATTCATTCGTTCACGTAAACATGCAACTCTTCTTTGTTTTGCTTTGGTTTTTCATTAAAATATACCCTGGGTGCATTCGTCCTGCATTTGACGAATACACACTTCATTTTAACATTTTATTGCGCGCAAAACGCGAGATTTTTTAAACTACATTCCACAGTTAACAAGTTAAGTAAATGTGTAAATTGTCATGGGACAAGTAGGATAAGTGGGACAGGTGGAAATTTAGTTGAGAAAAGAGAATAAGTTTTTCATTTGAAACTTGATTTCGGGTAAATCGTGTTTGAAGATTCGTCGAGGATACGTGTTGCTGAATATAAATCAACTAACGTGTCCGTTCGTTACTGCTTGTATCTACTTCTTGTAAAACCTATTGCACGCTGTACTCCACAAAACCGAAATGTTCAATGAAAAATTGTTTTGCTTTGTATAAAACAACTTCTTTTGTTCTACGTCACTTTGTATGATATAGACACTACGGTACGATTAAATACTCGACTAAATAGATATAGGTAACTTTGAGAAAATTAAAATTTGTTAAAAATATTAATATTAAATTTTAAATTGTTCTATATTGAATTTTACATTGAATTTTAATTTGAAGCTATTATCAAAAACGCAAAAAATTTAGAGAAGAATTTGTTAACACTCGTCATTTATAGAAAACATAATAAACTAGTGCACATATATCTCACACTACACAATTGTGTATACTATTCATAAAATCTACAGTTCACTTAAAATTATAACATAAATCTAATGAACGATTAAAATAAATTAATTCAAACAAAAACGAATGAAACAAATAGAAATTATTAGCAAAGATCAGATAGATAAACTAAATGATACCTAATCCTCAATTTCTACGGTAACATTTTATACGAAAAAATATTATTCGACATTAATATATTTTATATTACTTGAGTATATTAAGAACAAATCTCTCTAATATTTGTATTCCTCGAAAACCCAATTTCTACTTTCTAAATTCAAATGAAGTGAAAAATGAAATGATTTATAAGCCTACCTTATGTATCTATATGTAATAAATGGGATGCTTATTAGAAGATATTATATTTATATCGAAGTGACTCAAAGCTCTATGTTAATTTAATAACATTTATCATATGTTTATATAAACATTATCCACTGTAATCAGACAGAAAATCAAGGGGTTATATAAAATACAATCTCAGTACCACCAATTCTTTACACTCACACTTGGGTAGAAAAAATTATACAAAATCTTTAAGACACATATGTAAATAAGATGGAATAAAACAATCTAATATTCTTATGCTCTAAATGTTAATAAAAAAATAAAGTTAAACCGAAGTAACTTAAAAGTAAATTAAGAAAAGTGTCTCTATAAAATATTCATATTATCAGGTAATATTTTGTATCAAAAATCTAAATTGAAAATACGTAGAATGAAAATTTTGATATAGAACAATAGTAACACGGTATTAGTTTACCAGATCATATTTTTCGGTTAACAATTCAAGAATTAAACTGTTTCAACTATTTCTTGAAATCATAGTAAATTAATTTTTTATAAATACATCTAATATAATTCTAATAAGGCAACGTCGTTAATAGCATCTACAGATGTTTACAGAGTAATAATTCTTTAATAAAGCATGTTGAAAAATATTTAAATTTGTACAAACTCCTTTCACCCGTTGTATCTTTATTAACATAGAAATTTGGTCACTTTTAGCATATCCCATGTATCCTTGAAACCCGCAGAAATTTGCATAATTATAACTTACCACCAATTGTAACAGACGTTTCAGCTACGTTGGTTGACAAAATAAGCTTCCGCATTCCAGGAGCAGACGGCTTAAAGGCTTCCAATTGTTGATGCGTTGGCAAAGCTGAATACAATGGAAAGACCTTTAATGGCGGATATCCCTGTCCATCCAACTGTTTAGCTACTTGTCTTGCGCTCACGACTGCAGCTTCTATTTCTTCCTGCCCAGTTAAAAAGACCAGAATGTCCTCGCTGGGGAAAGACAGAAAAATTCAGGAAATCGTTCGTTTCCTTCTGACCTAGTTTCCACTTGCGTACGGACTGTTTTCCTTTAATCTAATTGAAGTAACGGTATGTAAATTCCACAATCCTGTTACAGACTCAGATAGATTAAAAATAAATCTAAGATATTGTTCATGTTTTATGGAATATATAAATAGCTGGATTGTACGTAGAATATAATCATAAAATTGAACGTCAACGGCTTCAAACGTTTTTTGTTTGGAAATGTGCCCTGGAAAATGTCATATCTGACATCATCTAATATAGTTATTTTTATAAGATATAAAATTAAAACATCTCGTTTAAGATACCTCTGTAGGATGTTTAAAATGTTATATGGTAAGCTAATAGGATTTCCAATGGCTAATTCTTTTCTCAATTCTTTTACCACCACTTGGGATACAAATTTAACATTTTGTGTCAGAGTTTTCTGCGCGTTTCGGTCAACAGTTTTTCTCAAAACAAAAATTTGAACTGAAACTGAAGTTTGAATTTATTACTGCCTCCGATGTTCAGCAATATCCACATCTTACTTTCTATGAAATTATTGAATTATTACCTGCTTATCATATGTATTAATTTCAATTTTGTCGAAAAGTACCAAGGTCAATGAAATTCTATTAAAAAGACTAATATGGTACAAACTATGACTACAGTAATCATATCACAGAATGAAAAGGAAGTCGCATTACGGTTGTGTAAAAAACTAAAAAATTGTACATTACAAATTTTGTAGAAGTGTTGAGCCAAAAATGCTTAGACATGTTTGGTATGTAAAACCTGCATCATCGATCAAATTCTCATTCAACCAGGCTTCGTCAATTTGCGGAACAACAAATGCAAATTGCCTATGCGATCGTATGTAAAAAGCGTCCACGTTCTAGTTATAAAATAGCACAGTAAAAGAAGGCAGGCATTCGAGGATAAAAGTCTCGCTTACTTGGCAGGATTATCGCGATGAATCTGGAAAGCGGTAACAAGAGCGGAAAACGCATAATCTTCTTGCGACTTGACGGCGTGATAAATCTTCACGGGATGCTGACGACCCTCTAAGTACACCGCCGGTGCTTGAAAATACTTGGCGAACTTATCGACGTCCATCGTCGCCGACATCACGAGCAGCTTCAATGGTGGCAGGTTTTTAAGCTTCCGTAAATTCTGCGCCCGCCTCGCCACACCGAGCAATACGTCGGTCTGCACCGATCTTTCATGCGCCTCATCCAGAATCACCACAGAATAATTGGACAGATTCTCGTCGGTCATCGCCTCACGAACCATCATACCATCGGTCAAATATTTGATCCTCGTCTGGGGGGACGTAACGTCTTCAAAACGCACGCAGTAACCGACCAACTTTCCTGTTTCCACCCCTTGTTCTTGGGCCACTCTACGTGCCACGCTGACCGCCGCCACTCTTCGCGGTTGCGTGATGCCGATGCAACCTGATACACCTGCTATGCCCGAAGACAGAAGTAACTGAGGAATCTGCGTGGTCTTGCCGCTGCCAGTTTCACCAATTACGATCAGCGTGCTGTTGCGTCGAATCTCCTCAAGCAGTCTAAAGTCAAACGATTTGGAAAAGATTGTAAAATGCTATATAACCCCTTGCTGCTTGATTTTCTTCTTAACGATCGTCTAATTTATTTTATTGCTATTGATAATTCGTAAGGTCACAAAGAATGTCTTTATTCGTTGTAGGTATACTTTTAAATACTTTAAAGGAAGAACTAGTAATAGTGAAATAGATTTTTACTTTGGTCTTTGTGCAATGAGTAGCATTGACATTTATTAAGATCAACTATGTAGAATTTATCAGTATATAGAAACGTGGTAACTACGTATTGACATAGTTAATCGCATGTTAATTTTTTTATTGTTATCTTTAACGTAGTGTAAGATCATCTTAAGGAGGGAAAAGTCGAAAGCTGGTCGTCTGCATTTCGTCAATCGATGCTTTCTTAAGGAAAAGCGTCCTTGAATTGACGCTGACAAGAGGGGGTCTTCCGGTTGAACAGTGCTTCTCAGGACATTCTTTCTGTAGCCTTCGAGCGAAGAACATTGTCTTCAAAATCTACAAAATCCTGTCTTACAGTAGATTTCTTCTTGTTATGAGATTATCTAAATAACTCGTGTGTGAAATACAAAGGAAAGTATCAAAATTGGTATTTATATGTAAATACGAATATCGGTATTACTCATTTAATTGACTTTCGTACTAAACACTTTATATCCTCCTACTAATGTTTATCCTATGAATATATTTTTATTTATATGAATGATTCATATGATACTTTAATAACCCATTTCATGTATCGTACGTATATAATAGACAAACGGACCTTAAAAATCGTTAACAATTAAAAGAAATAACTATTGTGTTTACTATATCAATATTAAACCAAACTAACAACATGTATAAATAATGAATATGAGAAACTCATATTCAAGAATGAAACGTAACATTAAAGGACAAAAAAATAAATAAAAAAATAAATATGTCGTGAGCACGCTTCTCGCGTTCTCTTCTGACACAAAACCAGCTGATATTATTTTTTATATATCTCAGTAATTTTACTATATTTTGATTTGATTTGATTTCTTGTGCCATTTCAAGAGAAAACTTCAGGGAAACATGTCTTAAAAAGTTACGCTAAAATAACTTAATTCCCCGTAATCACTAATAAACTTTAATGTGCCCTGAGAGGGGACATCCGAGTGATATGCTAGAATCACGATGTCCCCTGAGAGGGGACAGCGGAGTGCAAAGGGTTAAATCAATGCAGAGTTTTGAATTAATTTGTTACAAAACTGCATTCTCAAATATTAATAACTTATCAACTCTAATTATGTTTAATTACATTATTATGTTAATTACGCTCAACATTCGATTAATTGTAGTTTCAGGTAATTAATTACTTTGAACAGGAGTGATAAATACTTTATATTATAGATAAGTACATATGCATCATAATTACATGGTATATGCATATTACTTATTTGAGTTCAAATTAATAGTAATAGTAATTAGAAAACCATATTTATTTTACATAATAATTTAAAAAATTGAAAATTATTTAGATATGTATACTATAATAGATAATTCCATGAAAAAATTATTTTAAATATTTGAGAAATGAAAACATGACATAGTATGGTGGCGTCATCTATGCGGTAAATTAGGAAGTTATAAGCCGTGCACGGTCGGTGATACTCCATTTTGTTTTGTGATACTCACGTGCAAGAATGTTGTCAAGATATTGTTCGTGAGCTAATGTAGTAACGAAAATCAATCGAAAATCGAAAGCAAAATGATGCAGCACTTACCGCTTGCGAAGCCTGTAAACTGGTAAAGATTTCCTTTGTTGTAGTATGCTTATGTTTCCTTTATCCACACTTTCTGTCTGAACGTGTTGACTATCCTCGAGTTTTTTAATTTTGCTTGGGCTCTCGTTAAACACGACGGTGGTAGGACGTTTCGGTGCTAATTTTGAAAAGCCCGAAGTACCCATAACGTTATACTTCGAATCCATATTGTCGTGGACCCCCATGTCACCAAAAAATGTAACACAAACAGCAAACTCAAGAATGGTGCTCTGACCACGAGCACGCACGTGTTGCACACTACAGCTGTGTACAAATAAGTACCTTGACAGGAGGAAAATGCGACCAATGGCGTAGTTTCCTTAATTTAGACTTTACTTTCATTCGCTCTTTTTTAACGAAAAAAAGAATAATTTCTGCAAATTATTACCTCTGTAATTTTTATAAATTTTTATACAGGTTCTAAAGAAAAAAAGCAATAGTGAGAAAAGGAAACAAGGCATTGTACAATACAAAATTTGTTTTTCTTTTCAATTTAATGTATAACGCATGAATATAATGCATTAAACAAAAAGTTATTTCTATATGAAAAAGTTACAAATTATTATAAGTATCAATTTATTTAACACAGCACCTT